GGATCTCAGCTCACTGCAAGCTCCGCCTCCCGGGTTCATGCCATTCTCCTGCCTCAGCCTCCCGAGTAGCTGGGACTACAGGCGCCCGCCACCTCGTCCAGCTAGTTTTTTGTATTTTTTTTTTTTAGTAGAGATGGGGTTTCACCGTGTTAGCCAGAATGGTCTCGATCTCCTGACCTTGTGATCCGCCCGTCTCGGCCTCCCAAAGTGCTGGGATTACAAGCTTGAGCCACCGCGCCCGGCCAGCAGACCTTTTTTTTCAAGGCAAAATCCTTCCAAGATTAGATGCCAGTGAAGAAGCACCTATACAACTATCTGTGAGTTATTTCCAAACTGAGAAGAGCTAACTTGTAAGAAGGCTATATGACAAATTAATAAATGGAAACTTTAACTCAAAATTTTTGTTTGCTTTGAAGCCTTTCTTGTGTGTTTTAGAGCAGGCTTTTTACACATTTTGCTTTATTGATGTTCATTCTGTTTGTCCCTTGATATTATTTTGAGAATTAGACATTTAGGCAGCTAAGGGTGAATATATTAGTTTCCTAGGGCTGCTGTAACAAATTACTGGAAGCAGGGTGGCTGTAAACAACAGGAATGTACTTGGTCCCAGTTCTGAAGGCTGGGGATCCTAATCACTGTGTCAGTGGGGCTGCTTTCCTTCTGTAGGCTCTGAGAGAAAATGGCCTCTCTCCTAGTCTCTGGTGCTTGTTCACAGTCCTTGGTGTTCCTTGGGTTGTAGATGCTGCACTCTAATCTCTTCCTCTGTCTTCACGTGGTATTCTCTCCTGTGTGTCTTTTTGTGTCTCTTCTCCTCTTGCAAGGACACCATTCATATTGGATCTGGGGACATTTTGGATCCACCCTACTCCAGTATAACCTCATCTTAACTAATTATATCTGCAAAGACCCTCTTTCCAAATAAGGTCACATTCTGAGAAGGACATGTATCTGAGGAGGACACTATTCAACCCAGTACAGTGAGAAAGCCGAGACATTCACGAGACCATTTACATTGTCCTTGTCCATGGAGAGTTGCTCCGTGAATAGGACCCCTTTAGGAAGCCCCCGAGTCCCTGAGTCACTTTAAAAGCATACTCAGTTGTTTCATTTTAAAATAATACCTACCACAATTTAGAATTTACTTGGTGAACCATAGTTTTATTTTACAGAGTGACCCAGTGAAGGGACTTCTCTGATACTGACTTTGATGTCTTGTTCTTACAGGATTTTAAAAAGATGATTGAGATACCAGAATAGGGCAGTTTGAGTTGAAATCAGCCTGGGTTCAAATCTTGACTCTGCTGCTCATGCCTAAGTCCATTGGAAAATCTGGGCCTCAGTTTGACCTGTCTGGTGATCCCCATGCATCTTCTCTGTCATTCACATCTCATACATTACTTAAAAAACAATCTAGGAAACTGGATTCCACAGAACTGGAAAAAGAAAGCCTTCTTATTAGCTTGTGAGATCAAGCCCAAAAGGTAGAAAGGGTGCTTTTAGAAGGTGGTGTGCTTTTGAACTATTACGTCAAACCTTTAAAAAGAGTCTCCTTATAGTGTAGAGCTTGTTTTCTATTCCAAAGCCGAAAGATTTTCATAATTTTTTTCTCTTTCTTGAAGAACCGTAAATTTTTTTACCCTTAATTAAAACATTGAGTAGACTAATTAGGAAAATATTGTGAAAAAGGGAAAAAGAGTTACAAAATGCCCTTCCCTGTTCCCTGCCCCCATCCCATAAGAGTGCAAAATAGCTATTAAGACAGTGCCCACATCTTAAGTATGATCAAGCATCTCTTAGACACTTCTTTTGGTCTTTTGGGTACCATGAAGCTCATCTTTCCCTCACCCATCAAATTCTGTGTTCTGGTATCTCCCTCCCTTGCTCCCTTTCGGGTTCAAAAGATTTTCCTGTCTCAGTCTCCCCAGTAGCTGGGATTACAGGCGTGAGCCACCCCGCCTGGCCACTGGTATGTTTCGACAAGTAGAAAATGTCAGGCTACTAGAACAAAGTTACACAGAACCTGTTAGGCAGAGGTTAGCCAGGAAAGAGCGTCATCACTTTATCAAAGACCTCATTGCCAGGACTGATTATTTAATGTATGATTTGGCCTCATAACACTCAGCCAGTTCTCAGTGAAATGAGAAAAATGTATAGCTTTCATCCATTTAGATATTTGTAAAAGTTCTTATGCATTTGTCGCAAACTTTAGGTGGGGTCATAAGCTATTCCACATTTTTCAGAAGGCCACTAAAAACAACCACAGACTTGCTTTTGGAATGTTAATTTCAGCACATTATTATTGTAGCCAAGCAGACTGCTTTGTTTTCAGTTAAAGCTTGTAAAAAAAAAATTAAATCTAACACATTATGAATTTAGTTTTCATATACAAAAAAAACCCAGAGACAAATGGATTCCCTTCATTGCAGTTGGTGATATTGACTGAAAGAACTAACATAAATTTGATCTTTTTCCTCTTAAAGAAAGAAAAAAAATGGGATGGTCACAGTGGCTCAAACCTTTATCCCAGCACTTTGGGAAGCCAAGGCAAGAGGATTGCTTGATCCCAGGAGTTCAAGACCATCCTGGGCAACATGGTGAAACCCTGTGTCTAAAAGAAATACACACAAAAAATTAGCTGAACATGCTGGCACTTGCTTCTAGTTCCAGCTACTCCGGAGGCTGAGGTGGGAGGATCGCTTGCGTCCAGGAGGTCAAGGCTGCAGTAAGCCATGATTTCACCATTGCACTCCAGCCTGAGTGACACAGTGAGACCCTGTCTCAAATTGAAAAAGGAAAGAAAAGAAAGAAAAAATGATGTACTTCTAGTCTAGTACCTCTAGTAAAAGGTATAAAGAGGATAGACCTAGGCCAGGTGGGATAGCTCACACCTGTAATCCCAGAGGGAGGCTGAGGTGGGTGGATAACTTGAAGTCAGGAGTTAGAGACCAGCCTGGCCAGCATGGTGAAACCCTGTCTCTACTAAAAACTACAAAAATTACC